TTTTATGCAGGAAATAATGTGCCTATAAAACTGGCTTTAAAAAAAAAGGATTAAGTGGTGTTATGCTTAAAACAGCGGGAAAAGATAAGAAAATACAATATTTTTATTTGTTAAGTCATTTTATAAAAGTTATTTTCTATATGGAAGCTTTCAAGTTAAATTTTTCAATATAATAATAGTAATAATGACAACAAAAACAATAATAATAACACCAACACTATTATTGAGAAAGCATGACATAGAAATTGGTATTTAATAAGAAACAAGTGTATCATAAATGAAGTCCTTGGAAACCCTTGGTCGTCTACCCTGCCTTATTTGCCGACTCTGCGCTCATCCAATGTTCATTACTTCTGGCTCCTACTTCTCATGCACACAGAGAAAGACCATACACTTCCACAGAATGCCTGCTTTACCAACTCTATTGTGGCTAAAGACCTTAGGTTTGGGCCAGACCCTCTAATATTGGACCTGAAATCAAGTCACTCTTTTCCACAGATCCCCTAACTCCAAGCAGGTCTTTGCTCTTTAACAGATCTTAAAAAGTGTAGTCTACACGTCTGAAATCAAGCCAGGCTTCACCGACCCAGCCATGGAAAGTGCTCAGTGAGAGCAATCATCTTCCAAACCTTGCTGTCCTGACGAGCAAAACAGTTCTACTTGCACATGCCTTTCTTCCTCTTTATCCTTCCCTAATCCTGTCAATCAGCAAATACCCCAAACCACATAAAGTTAGGATCCTTGGTGTTAGATGTCAGAGGAGCCCAATTCACAGTTGGCTAAAAGAGCCCTGTCCCTAAACAAAGCAGGTATGGCTGGATCCAGGTGCTCAAACCAACTCCAGTAATCTCTTTCTTAAATTCACTGCTTTCCTCTGGGCTGGATTTATTCTTCAGGAAGCCCACTCAGGCGATATCAAGACTGGCTGCCCCCAACTGTAAGCATATACTTTATCAGTTTAACCCTCCAGTGAAAGACTGGAACTGTTCTATAATTGCTCCAGCAAAAACCCTGGGGGTGACTGTCACTGGCCTGGTTTAGGATTGATGCCCACATTTAAGCTAGAAGTCTGTCTAGTTGGGAAAATGCCTCTAACCCCAGCCTGAGGATGCTGGAGTGTGGGATGAATCCTCCTGAACCCACGGGCCAATGCTAGAGCACTGGCTTCCTGAAGACAAATCAGAGTGCTGCCACCTAGAGGAGGAGGAAGGGACTCTCAGGGGACAAAAACAAGGGTTCAAGGATGCCCTCTCCAACCCATTATCCTTGTCTCTTCATCTTTATCTTTGTTACACCTCATTTAGTTCTTGATCACTCAGCTTCTTTTTCAGTTGGCTTATGTATTTGTTTGTTTATGTCTATACCATTCTGTCTTTTTCCTGCTTCTCTGATTCTCTCTCTGCCTGCCTCTTGGCTCCTAATTTCCTGCCACCTACACCTATCCTCCATTCTTACCCTTTCCTAAACAACGTGGAAATGGACACTTTCAGCCTGCAGCCCTCAGCTTCTTCATATACAATATATCCCCATGGCCCTCTATACTTTACCTTTCTCACCCTCATTGTGTGGTCTTGACCATTTGGGGTTATTCTTTTTCACTAAGCTGGAAGCTTATGAATGTAAAGGGGCCATAAATCGTTCATTAACCAGTGAATCACCAGGACCCTGCAAAACATCTGATACATGGGAGGGACTCAGATACTCTTTGTTGAATGAATAAGCAAATGAACCCAATGAGAAAAAATTTATATAGATTTGGCAACATACATTTTACTTTTCAAGCTATCTTCTCCTAATTAGCCCCAGGAGATGAGAGAAGAGGAAAATGAGTAATTGGGGTCAAGACCAATGACTTCTTCTAATCATCTTAAGGAATTCATGTTTTCAGGAGAAGTAATAAATCAATAGGTAGCTTATGGAACTGTAAATTTCTAAACAAATATACAGATAGACAAACTCAGGGTCAACTGGCTGATAAAGATGTGATACCAAAATACAACTCTTCAGCAGAGACCCCCCAGAAGTGCACATATTATTCAGTAGGACTTGATGTAAAATCAGAGTTACGTTTCTATTAATTAATAGTTGGCAGCCACTGGTTGCCAATGAGTTTGACCTAAAAACAGAGACCAGGTAAAAGCAACTTATAGAATCCTGTACTTTAATCAACACTTCATCCAGGTATTTGCAAAGACAATCATTTTTAAAGTACTCAGTTCCTAAGTCCAGTTTCATTTACCAGGGCTTGAAGACTTTCTGGTAAGTCATCCTATAGTCACAGGTATCTGAACCCTGATACATTAAATGCAACCTCCCTAGTTATTCTATTGGATAGAACTAAGTACAAAAAAATTCTGTGTTTCACTTAAATAGATTAACTCAGCTTCTACAACATGCTAAATAAAATAAGCCTTGGGTTATTTCAATCACCCGCCAGAAAGCTCACTTGAACCTTCCAGGGAGGGGTAAAAGAGAGGCAGTGAGTCCTGTAGCACATGCCTCTACATTCACCCAGGCTAGGATCAGTTTTAAAGATCTGGGCAAGGAGGAAAGCTACTGAGAACAGGCTCTCTGGCTCTGTGAAGTTTCTGCAGGCTCACTTTTAAGTTCTTAGTGTTCTACATGGTGGTCAAAATCGCAACGCAACACATGGTGCATAATATTCTTGTTAGTTAGACTAGGGTAGAGCACTGAGATACTGAGTTTTGAAGAAAAGAGAGACAAAAATAATCTCTTTGAAGAGACATTATCCAGATGAATAAATACATATATATCATATACAACAAACACAGACATGAGCATACATATAATATACATGTATATTTGACAAACAGATGTGTGTCTTAAGATCAAAAACTAACATTTACTGTGACTTAGAAGGAAAATTAAAACTCTTTGGCAAGGAAAAAAATATAAGCCTCTTAGGCACAAATTTCAAATTCATTCTGACGAGGCCAGAAGCAAAGTTTAAAAAAAAAATTAAAGGAAATTTGGAGACTAATGACTTAGTTCCAAGCTTCTGCTAAGCTACTAACTTTGTGCTTTTTGACAAGTATCAGTTTTTCTGTGCCTCAGTTTCTTTATCTGCAGAAACAGGTGGGGGGGTTTCAAGAGAAATTCTGATGCAACAGTTATTAAACTTAATGTTCTATCCAAATACTAGTAATTAATACCAATAGAATATTAGATGCAGGGAACAAAAGGCTCAGTATATTTGAAATGTGAATTTGTCATAAGGAAGGACACAAGGCAAAGTTAAATTCAAATGTTTTAAGACTTTTTCTGAACAATAAAGGTATGTGTATACCCTTATCTATAATCTATATGGAGAAAGATATCTTTCATCCAAAATTTGTAGTTGGAATTCATTACCTGTATAAACTAGTCAATTAACTAAATGTAACATATTTAAAAAATAATAATGCTGGGCTTGTCTATTACAACACACCCTAAACCTAAAAATCAATCTAGTTGGGCCTCAAGAAAAGCAAATAATTATATTGATAAGATCACTTGGTCTGGTAGAAAAAGGACTGAAGTTCAAATCTAAAATAACAATTTGAGCTTAAACACAGCCCTGACTCTGACTATCAGTAAGACTTCAGGCCAGGAATTTAACCTCTGACCTTCAGTTTCTTCATCTGTGAAATCTATTTCATTTATTTTGAGGCAAAAGTTATTTAAAGGAAAGAATAAAGAGATGAATACAATAAGACCAAAAATATGATAACCATAGATGACGGCAAAGAATAAAATTTAACCTTAAAATTCAGACGTTCCCAACAAATAAATAGGAGCAGATGAAACTGAAGCATAAATAAAAATTATACTCAAAGAGGCTTGGAAAATTTGAAAAAGATATGAGTCATTGATGAAATATGTTCATAATTTTAAAAGTAGAGTTAATGTAAATGGACTTTGTCTACTCACATGCTGATAACTGTTTTAAATGCTGGATATGCTGGATAAAGGAAAACAAATAATATACATTAATTCATGTAGCATGTATAAAAATATGTACATAATATGAGAAGTATTGATCAGAAGTGAAACCTACCGTATTGAATGACAGAAATGAATTAACTTTAAAAAGTTTTAACTGAAGTATAGTTGATTTACAGTTTTGTGTTAGCTTCAAGTGTATAGCAGAATGATTCAGTTATAATATACACACATATGTGTGTATATATTCTTTTTCAGATTCTTTTTCATTATAAGTTATTACAAGATATTGAATATAGTTACTTGTGCTATGCAGTAGAAACTTGTTATCTATTTTATATATAGTGGTTTGTATCTGTTAATCCCAAATTCCCAATTTATCCCTCCCTCATTTCCCCTTTGGTAACCATGAGTTTGTTTTCTATGTCTGTGAGTCTCTTTCTGTTTTATAAATAAGTTGTATTTGTATCTTTTTTTTAGATTTCACATATAAGTGATGGCATATATTTGTCTTTGTCAGATTTACCTCACGTGGTATGATCATCTCTAGGTCCATCCATGTTGCTGCAAATGGCATGATTTCATTCTTTTTTGTGGCTGAGTAGTATTCCATTGTATTTATATATCACATCTTCTTTATCTTTGTCTGTCTATGGACATTTAGGTTGCTTCCATGTCTTGGCTATTGTAAATAGTGCTGCTATGAACATTAGGGTACATGCATCTTTTCAAATTAGAGTTTTTGTCTTTTCTGGATATATGCCCAGGAATGGGTTTGCTGGGCTACATGGTAAGTCTATTTTTACTTATTTAAGGAACCTCCATACTGTTCTCCATAGTGACTACACCAATTTATATTCCCATCAACAGTTTAGGAGGGATCCTTTAAATATTTTTAATTAGAGGATTTATAAAGGTAAAATTATGCCATTAGATAAAGTGAAAGTCAAAGTAAAAACAAAACAACAAGAAAAAAAAGGTGACCAGAACAAAAAAAAATCTCCTCTTATTGCTATGGAAGATAAGAATCTTGAGTTGTCTGAGCACCTGAAAGGCATTTTTAAATTAGTTAGTTAAAAACAAACTTCATTAAGCACTCTGCTTAATGTCCAACATGTCACTGTGTACTTTACACATATAAAATACATCATAAAAGGAAAATAAATGGAAATCCTGTCCAAAATGAAAGAGTAGACAAAAACATAAGGAATGCTTGATGTTCTTACATATGCTATCTCTTTTATTTGTCACAATAATTTGTTGAGGTTTGGATGAGCATGGGAAAGCTTGAGTGCAAACTGTACTAACATGCTTATTTCCACTCTTCGGGGTTATAAAAAAAATAAGAGAATGAACACAAGGAGATAAAGTGAAATCCAAGTGTTAGTTTTAGTGTTGGGCCAAGCCACCCCTAAAGAATAGGGCCTCTGCTCCAGCTGGATGGGAGAGCATGGGGTGGGGTTGGGATCTGGTCTGAGTGAAGGTGTCCCTGGTGTTCTTTAGCCTAATGTTGGGAGCGCACCTGCAATGAGTCCTAGGTCTACAGATTAGACTCTGATTTTCCCACCCCGCTGCAAGTAGAGCAGGCATGCCTTCCCAAACTCATGAAAGTGCACAGTAAAAATATCAATCTCCTTCATGCAATAACCCTGCCCAGGTGTGCTAGCGGTTGGGCAGTAGGAAGTAGAGGTGGGGGCACCTCCTTCACCTGAGCAATCGTGGTCTAAAAGATGACATGAGGAACAGTAACTTTGAACATTGTAACTCTACCCAAGGGTGAAACATGACCGAATGAAAGTGAATTTTTCAATTTTTGAACCAGATCCTCTCTTGGTGATGATAGCAGGTAGATGGAGAGTTATGTAGAAGACACTTCTCGAGCATGTTGGCAGTGGGGGAATAAAAGGGTTAATTTCATTTCTCCAGAGACTAAGATAGGAATGTGACACATAAAAGAGAGGGATGTCTCCTTATTGAACCCATCAATGTCAGAAATATTACTCCCACTTTCCACAGAAGGAGATCATGCTGAGAATGATCGCACAACTTGCCCAAAGGAATAGATATAGTAACTCGGACATGCACATGAGATAATCATAAAGCAACTAAATCCTAAGCTGCTTGAAAGTGACTTAGATGTAAGGTGTTCAGAGAAGTCAAATTAACATGGGATGCATTGAGCGAGGAAGGGAAAGCTCAGCTGTCATTGAAATCTGAGGGGAAAAGAAGGTGGTGTCAACAATGCAAGTCTGGCACCAATGGATGGCATGGATGGTGTGTCATCAGCACAAATGACATTCAGAATCTTTCCAGGTGAGCAAGCATCCCAAGCTCCCTGGAGCTACAGACACCCTGGGAAATTAAGAAGCTAGAAACCTCAGTGGCCATAACACATACACAGATGGTGGCTGTTGCCTGCACTGCGCAGTGAAAGGAGATTAAGAAGGAAGGTTGCAGGTACAGGGGACCTGATCATACTCTATATGATCCACTTCACATGAAAGCAATCACTCCTTTTAGAAAATTCCTTTATTTTTTTATGTAAGACAAAATTAAGGTTTCTTTTCCTTCAGTAGATCTGAGCTTTTCAGAAGCTCTTCATAGCATTGGCTAATCAGACTCATCTGAATGTAGAAGTGATCCTTGTATAATTGGGAATCTCAAAGAGCAAATGAGAAATGATAGAAAAAGAAAAGCGAAGGAAGGGTTCTATTAAACTGCCTTCTATTACTTATACATTAGAATAAAAAAATACAGTAAAAATTTTAACATATAAATGATAGTACCCTTTTCAATAAAAAAAAAAAAGCAGTCCTCAGAACTGTCATGGGAAAAAGGTAGTATTTCTATAATGGTCACTTACATCATTTTTAATACATACAAGTGATACATTTATTACAGGAACATCACAGCAAAATATGCTGTAATGAGAAAACACAGGCACATTACGCCCACAATCCATTTCATTATTATGATTGCTTTGCAACCATTCCATGATTGCAGGAAACATCTCTCTTCCTAATGTGTAATCCTTCTGCTTTAGGGCAAGGCAGTCCATGGATGGCAGCAAAACAAAATTGAAAAACTGGGAAAAAAAATGCGGCTCTCAAACTTTGGTTATGTATGTAGCATCCAATTCTGAAAAGAGCAACACAGCCTTCCAGGATCTTTTAGAGGCCAACAAGAGTCAGCATTCACAACTGTCTTCTTGTGCCCGGTAGAGTAATGTGAACATAAGCATTGAGGAATTAAAATGTGGTTTGAGCCTGATATATTACATCAGGGACCAACGTTAACCTTCAAAAGTTCTGCAAAGTAGAGCTGGTGCTTGTAAGTCAGTGTTTTTTATTCACCATTTGATTCCTAATCCTAAATTCAGTCTCTGGTACATAATAAAGCCCCTTGCAAAGGTATTTGCTGAATGAATGTTGGAATGCTGACCTGAAACTGAAGTTCACAGAGAACTGCAGGGAAATGGTGGACAGAGATCTGTTTGTGGGTCTAGATGTAGAGCCAATGACATGTTAGAGCGAGGTTGGGAGTGTGTGCATGGAGTAGGGCTGCTCTGGCTTGGCAGAAGCTAGTCTACCAATTTAAGTCAATAAGAGGTCAAGACAGTGGAAGTTAAGTCCACAGAGGTCAAGGTCAGAAAGGAATGAGAAATACAGTGAACACCACAGACTCAGGCAGGCACCTTCCAGAATCTGTTAAATCCAGTAAAAATGGGCAGCAACCTATTCAGTTCAACACAGAGACTTTTCGCATGTGTACATTTACTATTTATAAAATAGTACTACAGCAGCTTACACAAGACCAATGCAGTATGGGTCTTCCTCTCCCCAAGGAGCTGTCAATCGGTCAGGACAGACAGACGTTTAATTATTGGACTTACCATAAGGCAAATTGAAATATGTTCTTGTCAGAGGTTCATCCAAAATGTGATGGAAGTTGAGAGTAAAGATTAATTTGATTTTGATCTGGAAAATCTAGAATTGGAGATGGTATCAGCCAGGACTTGAAGAACAAGAATAAACAATATCACCTAAAGATGTTGATAGGAAAATAATCATTTAAGGCTGAGGGAATAGCATAATAGTTTTTGAACTTTGGGGGAGTTATAAACTCGTTTAAGAAGCTGACTAGGTACACATGCAAACTGGCATATATAATTTACATGAAGTTACCAAGAACTCATGGTTTCCATGAAACCCATCCTTGGATGCCTAGATCTATGGACTGCAGGCCAAGAACCCTTGGAGAAGTGTGAGCAAACAGGCAGACACATAGCTCTGAAAAGTGACTTGAGTATAATGTCTGATGAAATGGAGGGGAAGTTTGGGACCTGGCGAAGGAAAGTGCCAGTCATCATATCAATGATAAATGAAAAGGAAACTAAATGCATAGTTTCTACTACAGCTAATAGCATTCCAAAGTGATCATCAAATGGTCAGCCCTAGAAGAATTCTGGTGTTAACAGACAGATCTGCTTGACCTGATCAAATCACCACCCTAGGTAGCATAAAATTAATGAGATAGCAAGCATAGAAAAATACATGAAGAGAGGTTTCTATGGTGCCATGTTGCCTCCCCAGGTCCTGCTCCCGCTCCTCTGCCAAAGTACTTGCAGATGAGGTCATGTGGTGCACAGACTCACCAAGGAACTTCTTCTGACAGAGGACTTATGTCTTTCCTTTCCTGACACCCTTACCCTACCAGTTATCACCTTCTACCTGCCGCTCTTACTCAAGAGTGGTTCTCAGCAAGCAAAAAAATACATGACGGTAACTAATATGGGGACAACCTGATGGTCAACTCTTTTGCTGACCTTGTTTTTGCCGGTGTGTTTTTCCTGACCTCAGGGTTGTCTATTTGTGTTCTCAGTTTCTGCTGCATTCCTCTTTCTTTAGGTCAGCCACCTAGCCCTTTGCCCACCTAACCCTGCTCCCTGACTTCCAGGATGACGTGTCCCCAAGTTCATGGGTGCTCACCTATTCTGGGAATTCTTTCTTGATTGTGCTGCTCTGTGAGTCTATCCTTACATTTGTTTCTTGGCCTCTGATAACCCCCTTAACCTTTATCCTTTCCTTTACCTCTTCAGTGTCTTTTCAACCTCTGTACTTCTTTTTCCTCTCCCAGTAACTTGATCTTGCTTTTACTCACCCTCTGGCATAATGGGCAAGAACACCAGCCCCGCAGGTGTCTGTGCCAAGGTCCACCACAAGGAAGGGACACGTTCAATGCCAGCCAAAGTGAGGACACTTCTCACAATTAAATCTTGATGGAAAGAAGCAGGACCTGGATTCTACAGAGAGTGGAATCAGGAAGGG